AAAAGGAAAAGAAACTAAAACAAAATTCACCACAAGTTCAAGAAAATAAAGTTTCGCAAAAGCAACAAACTAAACCTCATTCTTCAAAAGGAACTTCGAAAGTTTTTCACAAAGAAGTCAACAAAAATTTGGAATGTAAGTCCCCAATCTGCTTGTGTAACAATCAGATCCGTTTGATGGTGCAAAATCCCAATCAATTGGATGATGCCAGATCAAAATAGAAGAGAAGGAGAAGAAGAATAACTTGAATCTATGATGTATTCAAAGAATAGAATGATGCTCCATACACTAGCTCTTCTCTCTATATTCTCTCACACCTTAGAATACACACACTTAAGCTCCTCTCCACCATACACCCACATGCACTCCTCACCATATATATATGAGACATGGGTCGTGAACAGGTTCACGGCCGTAAACCTGTTCACGGCCGTAAACACAGCCGTAAACTCTTAAAACATTACAGAAAAATACAATTGCCTAGAAAAACAAAGTATAAACCATAATTTTAGACCCAACATGGAGAACAAAAATCAAAATGTTTTTTCACAAAAGTCAGAAGTTGTTGAAAATGCAAAAAAGAAACAACAAAATCATTTTCAGAGAAATGTTGAAAAATATTTTTCGCAAAATCGTAATGGTTTTCAAATGGAGTCTCGTTTTGGATATCAAAATCGATATCAAAACCGTTTTTAGCAAAAATACAAAAACCTTTTTCACAAATGAGTTTTTCAAAACCGAAAAAAAGTTGTGAAGAAAAATTTACCATTCAAACCTGATGGCCCACATTTTTCAAATCCCGATTCAAAGCACAAATAAAATATTCATTTGTCAAGGGCAAGAATGAAATGGAAAATTTTAATCATTAGTTTGAATGAAAAGGATAGCAATTTCAATCGAAAGAGTATTCTCAATAACAAGTTCAACAGGCTTATGAGAATTACTTGATTGAATGAATCGATGAATGGAAGTACTTCATCTAAAGAATCATCGTCGAATCCTTCAAAATGGCAAGAAGTTAAAATAAACAAGTTGATTTTTATGAGAAAAGGGTTGAAAAAGAAAAAATCAAAGTTGAAACTTCGACACTGAATAATTATATTTGTATGCCTAAATCTGTTGAATTTGATTTAATTGACCAAATCAAAATAAAAGTCTGTAGTTGGATTCTTAATTTGACACTACACACAACTTTTCACACTAATGTCCAAGGACCCAAAAAGCCTTGGGGACCTAAATCTCTCTGAATGATTGCAATTTCTATGTGACAAGCAATATGACGAAAAATGGTATATTGATAGTAGATGCTCGCGTCACATTATTGGTCGGAAGGAGAACCTAAGGGATTTTAGGAAGTTAGAGAATGTTGTAGTTGTGAAGTTTGGGAACAATAAAAAATGCAAAGTAAAATGATATGGAAAGGTGATGAATGGGAAGTAGACTGTGAACGGTGTCACATATGTTGAAGGTTTGAAGCACAACATTATAAGTGTATCTTAACTTGTCGTTGGAACTGGGAATTAAGTTCTCTTTGATGAAGAAGGAAGCATGATTTCAAACAAAGAAACAAAGGAAGTCTTGTTAAAGTCGAAAAGGAACGAAGATGTGTTCACTCTGGACATAAAACAAATAGTTGGCGTTCCCTCTGTTTGCTTACTATCGAAGGCTTCTTCTAACCTCAATTGGATTTAGCATCGAAGCCTTTCTCATCTCAATTTCAAAATTTTGAATAAACTTGTTTTAAATGATCGTTTTCGTGGTTTACATGTTCTAAAATTTGATAATGATTATTTGTGAGCAAATTTCAAACAGGGAAAAGAACACCATCAAGGTCATCCTATCGTTATCGGTCAAAGATTGTTTAGATGTTGGAACTTCTACATATTGACTTGTGTGGTCCTTTGACTATTGAGTCTCTCAATGGGAATAAGTACATACTTGTTATTATATATGATTTTTCATGCTTTACTTGTGTTTATTTTCTTAGACAAAAATCTGAGAATACTAAATTGATGATCGATTTCATCAAAAGTATCGAATTAAGTCTAAAGAAGAAAGTTTGTCATATCAATAGCGATAATGCAACGAAATTCAAAAATTATGCTCTCGATTCATTTTTGTCAAATTTGGGAATTTCTCACTATTTTTTTCTCTTACAGACCACAACAAAACAATGTTGTCGAAAGGAGGAATCGCTCTTTGAGTGAAGCTGCTAGAACTATGCTCACTAATGCAAATCTACCTCAATATTAATGGGAAGAAGCAGTTTCTACAACATGTTTCACTCAGAATCGATCTTTTATTCATCGCAGATATAACCTCACACCTTATGAAATCATTAACAAATGGAAACCTAATGTCAAATTTTTCCATGTTTTTAGTTGTAAATGGTTTATCATGAATCTAAAAGATAATCTTTCAAAGTTCCAAACAAAGGCTGATGAAGGAATTTTTCTTGAATATTCACATAATTTTGTGGCATATAGGGTGATGAACAAACAAACACGAAAAGTTGAAGAAACTTTCAACCTAACATTCGATGATTACTACGTCAAAAGAGTCGAACATGAATTTTCAAAGAAACCAACTCTTTCTGAGTCTAATGAGGAATTCGAGCAAATGCTTACGTTTGATGTTGATTTTTTTTGCTTTTTAGTATTCCTGACATAGCTATTGATGCTGAGGTCAATATCAAAGACAATCAAGTCTCGAAAGAATCAAAGCACTCTGATGACTCAACAATAACTGATGAACGAACTGATGAATATTTGTCATCGACACCAAGAGTTAATGTAGAAGAGGGTCAAACTTCGACATTTGGTCAAGTGGAGGGGGAGGACTTGATTACTCAACCTCAAGTCGAGGGGGAGCCATTACCTTCGTATGTTGTTTTTGAGGGGGAGCAACAAATGGTAGATCCATGTGTTTAGGGGGAGCAAGATCTAACACATAATGAATATGATAACAAATCTCCGGTTAATGAAAATGATGATATTAATGATAATCTTTTAGTTGGAGAAGAAGTATCTGAATCTAAAGAAACATGTGAAGATGTTCATTTGGATTTTGATCCATCATTTCCTTCTATGGAGAAATTGACATGTGATCATCGGAAAGAACAAATTCTTGGTAATCCTAATTTTGGTGTGTTAATGTGCGTACATGTTACAACTAGGACTGAAGTTCTTAATGTTCATCAAGAACTTTGCATGTTCAATGTTTTTATTTCAAAAAATGAACCAAAACAGTCAAGACTGTATTAGAACATCTCCCCCTATTTGATGATCAAATATATACACATGAGTGACCTAACTACATCTGAAGTAAAATGTTGATTTCTACTCCCCCTTAGATAAACAACATTTACGTTTTCCTCCCCCTGAGTTTCAAAATCTTCTTTTTTCAAGAATGTCTACTTTTCAAAGAATGATCAAGTAACAATGTAGCAGAACTAGTATTTCTCCCCCTTTTTGAAAGCATCAATAAACACTACATTCTTTTGTTTTTTATTTTTATTTTTTTAAGAAGACAACAAGTAACCTAAAAGAAAAAGAAAACATCAAATAAAGTTAGAGGATAAGATAAGTGTGTCACACTATTGTGTTGTTCCAATAGTAGATCATTTACATAGAATTATGAAGTCTCATCAACGTATGATTTTAAACGTTGAATCATTAACTACATTTAATATAAGATAAAAAGGGCGAGAGTGGAATGATTTGTGTAATACATTCTGGTACAAAATGTACCCACCGACATAGATTTTTCAAGTTCTCATCAGTGTCTGACATTAGGCACTGTATTATAAAGCTTTTGAGAAGAATTTAAGAGCAAGAATGGGTTGGTGCGTGTGATACACAACGGTACATAATTTAACAATCGACACAAATTTTTGAACTTTTATCAGTGTGTAGTATTGCACAGTGAATCATCAAGTTCTTATAAAGAAGACTTGGGGAAATAAGTAGGACGTCTCAATCATGCTAAGGTGAAATCAGCGTCAATCATTGATAGTGATAACCCGTCAGGAAGAGTAGTTTAATACTTAGCACGACACTAGAACGTACCTAGATATCTTGCAGTATAAATACATCTCATAGGGTATGATTTTAAACCACTTGTTCTCTTGTGAAGCTTAGGCCAAAAATTTCATTCAGTCTCCTCTCTCTCTCTCTCTCTCTCTCTCTCTCTCTAAACCATTTCTTAGTTTCTAGGGTTTGCGTGTGAGCCATTAGAGACAATCATAATTTTGATGCTAGCTTTCTGAAGAGTAATTGAGGATTCAACAATGATACATATGAGTGTAACACTAGACCTATGCAATCATATTCATGATTTTCGATTATAACAAGGTTTTCTGATAGTTTCAATAATATATTGCTATAATGTGTAAAGAGATAGATCTCTATGTTACATGTGTCCATAATTCGATTTTATGATGATTCCACAATGCAAATATATTTAATGTAACCTAGAAACCCCGTTAATATATATATATATATATATATATATATATATATAGATATATATATATATATATATATATATATATAAAAGAGTATCCAAAGTACAAATGAAAGAGTTGCAATGAGATAAAAATATCTAGTTGACAATCATGGATTAAACTTAACTATAGTACGTGGGAATGTTTTATTGAATTTTTATAGAATACATTGAATTTTATAGATTCAATATATTACGATTTGTGTTCGCAAAAAGATTTTGACTTGACGTCTCACATATTTTTTGCAAGTGCATTTGAAAAGCCCGATGTATATGCTCTTACACTTGATAAATATGAATTTACACTTGATGATAAGTATGAATTTACACTTTGGAAAAAACTCTACAATAATATTACACTTTATAAATATAAATTATCTCAAAAAAAAAAAAAAAAAAAAAAAAAAAAATATATATATATATATATATATATATATATATATATATATATATATATATATATATATATATATATATATATATAAATAGAAAAATAAGTAGAAGAACCATATATACAAGCAAAGAAACTTAGATATTCATCATTCCAGAATCATAAGGCACGCCAGTTCCTTTGATCCATGAATCTCCTTGTATGAATCTTGCAGGTGTATATTTACTAGCCTCTCGTGGAGACATTCTTTTGACACCCTTCCATTTGACCCTCTTGGAAGTGTCAGCGCCTGGACCTTTGTTGTCTAGTTCTGTATAAAAGCAAGTGTCTAGGCCAAAAGTCCCAGTCCATGGAGCCCACCCTTCTGGGTCGATGTTCTTGTCGATGAATGATTGCATGATGATGGTCCTTGAATACTCCTTCCATGGACGACCGAGATAAGACTTGGGCATTGGGGCTGCGTTCAAGAAGTCGGGCTCAGCTGTAATAGTGCAACCCTGGAGGACGATTCCACCCACTGAGTGGGAGTCCTTCCGCCCTTGAGCTGTCACCATGCATGCTTGGTTGCTCATCGGCTTCCTGACTATCATATGGCAGTCCTGGAAAACAGCTGCAGCATCCCCAAACACGAAGTCAATGGTTCCACTGACGTTGCATCGTCTGTAGAATTGTCGATATGAATGAGTGTAAAGGGTGTCCTGATATCCATCCATCACACAGTTTTGGAAAATGGCCATATCTGCTGAGACACGCAGGGCTACTGCTTGATGTTTTTCAGATCCCGCAGTGTTCTCAAACCATAGGTCCTTCGCCATGAACCCATCCCCGTTCACCGCTGCATGTAAACCCAAAATGAGCCATATTTTAATAATAAATCAACTTTTTTTGTTAGCACAAAGGATATTCAAAAACATTACATACCTTAAAAAAAAATTGCATTGAAAATGATGTAATAGGTCGGAGAAACTTTATGTTTAAATAAAATATCATACCATTAATCATATTAATTTGAGTGCAAATGGGGATTGTTGCAAGATCAAATAATTAATGTGGTATATGTAAAGAAACTTACCGACTGTAGCAGTATGGAAAGTAGAGACTCCATCAATGAAATTCTTGTTTCCGGTGATCTTGGTGGTGGCTGGACCTTCTCCGAGGAGGACAATGTTGTTAGAATGCCGAGGAATTGCAACATTTTCCTTGTAGGTACCAGCCTTGATGAGTATGATAAATGGTTCGGTTTGCTTTTGGGGCACTGAGTCAACTGCCTCGGTGATGGTCTTGAAGTTACCTGTCCCATCTTGAGACACGATGGCATTAGGCTTAAGAGTTGAGGGATCAGCGTTAATTAGAGACCTCCGTGGACCATCGGCCCATGAAGGGTATTGTGTATTATCATCTTGCTGAAGGGGCATCACTGGCTTTGTTTCAGGAGTAGGAATTTCATCATCTTTTGATGATGAGTCTCCAACCATCTGTAGATTTGAATGAACAGCAGGATCCTGAAAATCATCATCCAATTGGTCAAGCATCCTTCTATTGCCTGTCATTGGCTTTGAATCCCCACCAACAGTTGCTGGCTGTGAATCTGCGGGGTTATTATTCATGCCATTGCCAGTATCTTGTCTCAAAGCCATAGGATTAATGGTGAGATCTGCCTTCCAATTCACAGAAATTGGCATGGTAAGCGGTTTAGGACGTGGCCTAGGAACCTTTCGAGGGCTCTTTTGGACATCTACAGACAATTCAGCGACTCCATCAAGAATTGCAAGACTATTTCGTGTAAGTCTGTTCCCTGTTTCCATAAATTTCCACATCGACATTTTTGAATCGCCTGTGGTGTTTTCAAATGCATCAAGGCAGGTTTCTTGCCAAGTTACAGCACCACTAAGCCAAACCCTCAAGTCAATAATATTTTGCTTCAACTTGGGAAGATCAAAGATGTTCACTTGATCTACCGATCTTTTTAGATCTTCAATGGATACATGTAGAAGCTCGTTACATTGCTCAATTGCCTTAGCAGCCATAGGATCCTTTGCAGCTACTTGTAGGGTGTATGATTTTTCAATGGCGACCAGGATACTCTCCATCGCTGCATTAAAATTCGCTTTTACCAGGTCCCTAGGTTCTTTCAATCCAACTCTACTCAAAGTTTCCTCGCAAACCTTCTTGAAATCCGTGTGTTTGCAGAGAATTATCACAGTTGCGGTGGTCGCGGCTGTGGTCACGGCTGTGGCAGCTATGATACCGGTTTTCTTGCCGCCTGCCTTCCGGACATTAATCTCAATATCTTTGTGTCTTCTAACGGTGACAATGGTGCTAACAACAGCCCCCACCACAAGTAATACAGCCATTGCGATCACCTTCTTCTTCTTCCCCCCTTCGGAAGCCATTTTTTTTAATGTTTTTATAATTATATGTAAAAATATATATATGTATATTTCTACTATGAAATTACTATGGATACATGGGTTGAGCTCCTAAGAAACCTTTTGTCATTAGATTCGTCTATATAAGAGAATTAAAAGTTCCACGCATACGGTGGGAATTTGTTTACATTGAATTCAGACAAATGTGAGGTTTAGAATGTTGGAACCCTGATCAAGGATCAATGGAAGGTCGCGCGTAGGTTGTTCTTTCGGAAACCTTTGAAATTTGGTGGTACTCATATGAGGTCAAGGTTAACCGTACACGATAATTCGTTCATAGATGAAACATATTTTTTTTAATTGTAACATCTGTAAATTAACTCCAGACAATTGGATTTCTTTTAATATAATGTAGCGTGTTTGACATTGAATTTTAAAAATAGGACTTATAATTTTATTTCAAAATAATACTTACAAGAACACAGTAAAACAACCAATCTATCAAATACTTTCATCCAATTATCAAATTTCAAGGTGGCAATGGTTTTAAGATGCTAGAATTCTAGAATGATATCTATATTTTACTAAAAACTAAGGGTGTTCAATATTCAGATAAAACTGAATTGTCCAATTGGACAATTTGAATTTGACTATTTAGTTCGGATATTCAGATTTTTGGATTGGTTTTCAAGAAAACTGAATTATTATTTTGGATTTTGGATTGGTTTATAAAATAAGAACCGAATAGTCCAAATAACCGAATAATAATTTATTACTTATTTACTTTTAATATGTCTATAATTATTTATTAAGTTTGTAATTTATTTTTCAAATACCTTCAAAAAGTTTCACCAAATAACAAATATTAATATGCATTTTCTCACAAAAGTTTTTTATCTATAAAATATTAAACTATAATATATCTTCATAGTAATTGTTTATAAATTTAAATCACAACTAAATAAATTGTTTTTGCTTCTTGTGTAAAATTGGGTAATATTATAATTATATGTCGTTTTAAAATGTTTCGATTGTTGAAAATCGAATTACTAAAACCGATCCAACCGAATTGTAATTGGATCAGATCGGATTGGATTTGAATTTAGTTTGGACTATTCAGATTCATATTTTGAAAACCGAAATCAATTTGGATTCACTTGATTGGATCGGATCAAACCGATCCATCCAAATGAACACCAGTAATCACCCATGATCAATATGAATCAGTCGTTATGTCCATACGAGAGAGTGAGTTTTGAGGTAGAGTTTTGAACAACACCCGATAATGCCCCTAGCTATGGGTGAATGGTCAGGAATCATAAGGATAAACTAACCATATTGAACTTTTGAGCTTAAGGAAGTATTACCTTAATAATTTATGTGGTCGTTTGATGTTCAAGAACAATTACTATGGATTTGCTATATCTACGATTGAGTCACACGCATAGAGATAGACTGCTACTAGACCACCAACCACTACAACATGAACACCCTATGGCGAAGACAATTTCGGACCGTATCTCGACGACATGTCGTCGCCATACGGTATGCAGACGACTCGTCGTCGGCAAACTGTCGTCGGCATAGGCCTGTCGGCATAGGTCAATATTTTCGTCGACATAGATGTCGTCGGCATAGCTTCACCTACTGTGACGGCCTGGTGTCGGTACAGGTTTCGTCAAACATATTTTCGGAAAAAAAAAGTTTTATTAATTACCTGTGGCGACGACATGTCGTCGGGATACCTATAGTGACGACACGTCATCGCTATAGGTTTAAGCTATTACGATGACTTGTCGTCTCTATAGATTTTTCACATTTGTCGATTAAATACCTATAGCGGCGACTTGTCGTTGGGATAGACACTGGTTGTTTTTTTTTAGTTTTACAGATTCTGTACATTACCATTCCTGCATTTTTAACAAATCCAAAAACATTGCATCATATATCAATTGAAATACATTAACTAGGTACCAATTTTCAATTTCAAAACATCAAACTCAAGTTTAATATTACAATAAGTAGTTAATTAACATTGTTCAAAATACTAAAAAACATCAACCATCATTATCATCATCGTATTCTTCTTCTTCTTCTCCTTCTTCTTCCCCTTCTTCTTCCATCCTTTCGGCAAATTGTTGAGAGGTACTTGCTTGTGTGTTAGAGTTGAATAGAAAGTTAGGAAATGGTGGTGGTTGGAAGTTCGAAATACATGCCGCTAATGATGCATTATATTGTTGCAAGTATTCTTGCATTTGTTGTGCATCAATATAGAGATTGAGATTGGGGTTGAGATTGGGAGGATTTGGAAGTGGAAGACCGTTCATTTGGAATTAAACCATATCAATCTTGACATGTCTTCCTTCCTTGCTTTAGATCAACATAGAAGAGACAATGAGACAACTAGGGGCATTATCAAATAAGTAAGGGGAGCATTTTAGTTTACACTGCAAGTGAAGTGGGGGACAACGATGCTCAATCCAAGGTCTACGATGCTCGGTCTACGCTGCCTTGTAGCAAGTTCGGTGGTGCATGGACGAGGAGGCATGTTTAGATGATGTCTTGTAAGTCATGCAGTGCTGGATCAAGTTGTCTTTTATAATTTGATCTCGTTGTACACTTGTAACTTTAGGTGAGTAGGCCGTGCAGTTCTAGGTCAAATTTTTTTTAATTGGATCTCCTTGTACATTTGTAACTTGACGCATAAAGCATATGTATGACCGGTGTATTTCTAGAAGATCGACAAATATTCAGTGTAGTTCGTATTAGTACGATTACTCTAATAATGGTGTGAACTGTTAGAATATTGTTCAATGTCATAACTAATTGGTAAGATTTTTCATTTATAAAAGATTTCTTTTTTGGTTTCCCTCAATGATCCAAATAGTATTAGAAGGTTGTGAGAGAGAGATACAAATACTTTATTAATTATTCATGTGATGACAAATTAATTAGGAACAAGTTTGGAATTAATTAAGAGTGTAGAGACTAAATGTTAACTATTAAATAGTGGAATAATGAAAAGTTATAGATCCCTTAAGAGGGTTGATGAAAAAATCAATCGATAAGCCTTGGAGATTTCGTCTCATGCTAGATAATAGGAAGGAGATTTGAATTTTAGATAAAATAGATTATTTAATTATTATCTTTATTTAGTTGTCAATTCAAATCGGTTTTCGTTCCCAGAAGTCAGAATCTATAAATACTCCTCCTTGACACCTTATGAAATCGTCTCGATCTGCACATCTAGAGTTTATCGTATCTCTTGATTAATTCCTTAGTCAATATCTATTGATCTAACGATTAATATTCTAATACTAATAATTTGGAATTGTTGAGTGTGAACCATTAGTGGCAATCTACTTTGGTTGTTATCTTCCTTGGCTTGGTGGAATTTGAGATCTACATCAAGGTTCTTCAAACAAATTGGTTTGGCTAAATATTAGTATTTTTTATCCTTCTTGTAGTTGTTCATATTATTTAAGTTAAAGATCCTTGTAGGTTTTAGTTTATTATTTAATGTCCCTAAAATACCGACTAAAAAAATTCATTTTTTTTTGATATTTTTGGGACGTTAAAAGTTAGTATCAGAGCCTTGGTTTGAGGGATTTGGGCACACTCTTGGCTGTGTCTGAACTCAAACTGAGGAGTTAATAAAATCTTTTAAAATAAAATGAGTTTTCCAAAAAGGTTTTTAAGAAAAATGGGAGTGATGCATGCAATCAGCCGAGATCAAGTATGTGATTCCCAAAATACCCGTACATGTTGATATGTTATATGTGGTATAGTATGATATGCATGCTAGAAGTTAGGATAAGGATCTTCTCAGATTTGCATGATGGAATGCATGTTTAGGAGAGATGCCTTTATGCGTGTTCTATAAGTTGGTAGTGATGCATGCTAGTGATTAGAGATCTTCAGGAGCTATAAGATAGGACGACCTGATTATTTGTTGTTAATGCTCGAATATTGCTTGCTTTGTGTTATTTGAAACCTTTACCGATGTCGATTGACTACTAAATGAATATGTTAGGTTGCATGCTACAAGGGTTAAATAATCTTAGAATGTTAGGTTAAACTCTATTTCGCAATTATTGTTTGAGTCCAACCGTTATAGTGTGATACCTCACAGTCGAAGGATTGTTTAACGTTTATCGCATGTGATTGTATTTGTGAGGTAGTTAGTGGACACTGGATAGAGTTTCTTCTGTAGATGATAGCAGGGACAGGGTGAGAGGAATCCAAGCAGAGCCTAGGGATTATTTAGCTCGATGAGTGTGTTGTTTAGCGGTGTGTATTCATTTAAGAGCATGTATATGTGATTAGATCAGACGGTAGTGGACATGAGTAGTTACTTGGAGGATCTGAAACGATTCTTAAGGAAAGTACAGATAGGTGTGGAAGGTAGTATTGTGCCCACACTACTGAAAGCGCAGGATCTGTACTCGAATCAAGGAAAATTTTCGAGGAATTATAAAAGGTTGGTTTGGGGTAGATAGCATGGTTTGGCACCATGATTCATGTAGCATGTTCCCGTCTTTATCGGCCTTTCGGTTGTGTTTGTTCAAGATGAAAATGAATCAGGAAATAGTTCGGGCCTTAGTGGTCATGGCGGTTTCGGTCTGAGTGGTACAAACATATATGAGTTAGCTGATTCTAAGGTCTCGAGGGCCTTCTTCGAAGTACTAATAGTTTGAGTCTCGGGACTTAAGAAGGAAGCGATTATGATGATTGAATTGAGGATTGCAGCCTGAGGTTGAGTGATCGGCCGATGGCTTAGGATGTCATTTTCTATGATGAGGAATTTGTTCTTCCAGCTTTCTTTGTTCGGAGGAAAGAGAGAGCGGATGTATGATTTCAGAATTGAGATGTAGACCCAACGTGGGACTAGATAGTTGCGGTTTCTGCGACAAGTGTGGGAATACACAAGATGATTCTTGTGGTATGGTTGCCTTGAGATATTTCATATGTAGGGAAGAGAGTCGTTATTGTTGAGACTGTAAAAGATGAGAACAAGGATGATCAGGAAAAGTGAAATGGGGGACGACAACTTTCGTTGTCTCTGATGTATCCCGACTATGAGGTTGATGTCTCCAGTATATATGAATGATTC